AGTGCAATTGACTGATTATTGTTATGTGTTGCCTTAAATTCGGCTATGCTGTCTGTTAGACAGTTGTTTTTCTTTATTGTCGTTTTTGTAATTGTAGGGAACGCTACTGGAATGTATAGATTATGCTACGTAGCCAAAATGATTAATAATTTAACCATTGTACCTTTGTGAAATATGATGATGATTCACATTGTTGCACAGGATTACAGAAAAAATGATTTGTTGAACTTGATGTGCTAATGGACATTTTTCTGGCCTACAGGTCAGGGTTTTTTTTCTCCACACTGAATTGATCATCTTCATATTAAAGTGGCGACCATTCTTTTCCCCTCTTTTCACCCATTTTGCCGTCTTTGGATTACGGACCTATTTTGCCCATTACATGAAGCTGGACCCTAAGGAGGAATTCCTTAAAATTGAACTTTAAAAGAAACTTTAAAAAAAGGACCAAAAGGACTCTTGCACAGAGAATCACAACATTAATTTATTAATTAATTGTGGTACATTTATTTTGTGTTTGTATTTATTTTTTTGTTCCATTTCCCCTTTTCCCCCATGTATTCAATATATTTTTGGGTTTTCCTGAACAAGAATTTGCAGTCTCTGGTCTCGTCATTCACACCATCTAGGCTCCATACAGAACTATTTCTTCTGCGCGTCAGTCAGTAAACTCACCAATTGCAATAAAACTAGCCCTTATCTAACTTTGCGTTACATAAAGACTACAATAATACAGAGAAACCCTTAATCAGATGAGCGAGCACTTGGGTGACAGTGGGAAGGAAAACTCCCTCTTAACAGGAAGGAACCACTGGCCAAACCAGGTACAGGAAGGAGCGACCATCTGTCCCTGCCAGTTAGGGGTGATGAGAGGAAGACTGGACAAAAGACACCATGTGAAGAGAGCCAGTGATTAATAATAAATAATGATGAAATGCAAAGGTGTATTTAAAAAAAAAAGGAAACACTCAGTCCATCATGGGAATCTGTTGCTGACTGCGTGTAGAGTGAAGAACAGGACCCAAGCGCTGACACAGAGGGAGATGAAAAAAGGGTTTAAACAAAAGCGAGCTGTTTATTATAGGCTGGTTTTGGTTTAAACCCTTTTATTTGACAAGAATACAAAAAAAAAAAAGAAAAAGCAAAAGCAAGTAGTGCGAAAACTAAACTCAAAAACTATGACTAACTATGAAAACCAAGACATGAAACTGAGCAGGATCATGGACCCATAAACGAGGAAAAAAAAAGTCGGAGCTGCAGCGAAAACGCTGTGACTCAACATGAACACTCGTAAACTAAATACACACAGGAGGTGATCAGGGGAAGTGGAAACACATGAGGAAACAGCTGACACAAATGAACATAATGACACTTTAGGGGAAGTAAAACAAAACACACTGAACATGCGGCCTTTCTCAATACGCGTACTTGTGCGTACTTGCGTTCTCGTGTACTCGTGATACGTCATCAGTCGGAGACCAAGTACTGTTCCAATGCGAAGTACGCATCAAGCCGAGAACGCGAAAAAGTCCCG